ATTTTTTTCTCACACTATTTCAAGTTTGCCTTTCTTCTGTGTTGACCCCCCAACCCTATCCATAGTCACGTGTGGAAGGAGATATGGCTCTAGAAAACCTAGGCTTACAGAATTAATAGGATTTTTAATTTCAAAAGGAAGAGATGGCTCTAATAAAAGTTCTAACAATGCCCATCATGACCTAGGTTTCACTTGTCCAATCCTAAAACAGGATGATGTAATATTCTGATTAGTCATTTAAATCGCATGGGCTCAATGAAGCAGAGGGAGTTCTTGAAAGTCAGGGTGCCATTACCTCAAAAAGGGAATGGATACTAGGAGGCCCACTCAAAAATAAACTATACCAAAAGTTCTCTGAAGAGGAACAATATAGATTTTAAAAATTGTATATAAAACATTTACTCTTGAGAAAAATTAGAGGAAAGGAAAAAATCTCTCTACTTAAATAAGGTATTGATTACAGAAAAGCACATTATAATTTGTCATGAGATAATGAAATAATATGAAAATGTTAACAGTGTTTTCAAATTTAGAATTGAGCTAATCTTAGAACTATTTTTGGTAATTTTGGTAAATACACAATTAATATAAGGATAGCTCCTGTAACCTGTGAAAGGCTATTTCAAGCTCCTTTCTTTCTTTCCTAAGCAATTGAAACCAGTCTTATATAATTAGCATAATTAAAAATTGGTCTCATTTAGTGGCCAATGTAGGTCCCTAAAGTCCACTTAGTTTGAATGATGAAAATGTTTACTCTGATTCAAGTACTATTAGTTGCAGCCTCTGGTCTTCTGCCTTTGTTTTTGTAACTATCAGTATCTGGCCTGGTCAATCAGTAGTGACAAGGTTTGTGGATTGTGTAGCTGGTGTCTCAGCTCCATCATGTGGTGGAGCTTGGAATTGTTTGCTTTCTTTGAGAGGCAGGATCTGCTGATTAAACAGAAAAACAAGAGGAATACAATGAGGACAAATCAGAAGAAAACATGGAATTCTAGCTGCTTCCTTTTATCCACTTTATTCCACAAACAGGTGAAACTGAAAATTTTGTAAACAGAAACGTTAATATTTCCTTCCTGTCCCCATGGTTTCTGGATACACATATCCCATTTTAAAGATCACTGATCTAGAGAAATTCTCATACATATGCCCTAAATGATCCAGACAACAATATTCATTGAGACAACTGTTTTTAATAGTGAAAAACTTGGAAGCAACTTAAATATCCATTAACAAGCAAATTGTTAATTTGTATTATTCATTCAATGACATATAATTTAACCAACAAATACATTAGAGTATGCAAAAATAACTGAATTGAGCCATCTCTATCACAATGGAAAAGTCTTAAAAAACACTGATTAGGAAAAAGTTGTAGCATGATTCACAGTATTTAACATCATTTGAAAATATGATCATGATTTAAAACAAATACTATGTATTATTGAGGAATATTGTAGATATATAAAATAGTATGTGCATATGTAAGATAATCAAAACCACCAGTCAGAAAAGGAGCAAATAGGAATTAAGGAGAATCTGAAGTGAAGGTGGTAAAATGTGAAGCTTTTGACAAAACATGGTGTAATATAATATTTTAAAGACCTTTCTAGGTATTTGCTTTATTATGTCATATTAAATTTTTCAATAAAATTGATTAGAAAAATACTGTACCCTCAAAAGATATAGGAAGAACATTAGAAGGAAATGCAACAATTATTTTATGTCTACTCTATACCAGAATAAATCCAGTAGGGAATTGAGTGGTATAGGATTATCTTCATAAATACTAAATGGCCAAGACTTATCATAGACATATTGTTAGAATGACATTGATTGCAGGTGGTGGCACACACCTGCAATTCCAGGACTGCAAGTTCCAGGCTAACCTCAGTAACTTATTGAAACTCTAAGCAACTTGATGGAAACCTGTCTCGAAATAAAAATGGGTGGGGATGTGGTTCAGTAGTTAAGCGCCTCTGAGTTCAATTCCTTGTAAACACCTCCGAGAGAGAGAGAGAGAGAGAGAGAGAGAGAGAGAGAGAGAGAGAGAGAATATGGTTCTGGAGGTTTGTAGATGACAGTCATGATAGAGATGACAAGTTGGAGTTTTAGGGAGGAATGGAGGAAGGAACATAGAAAAAATAAAGGAAGACACTTCATGACAAGACTCAGTGGGAGGAAGAGTACAAAGGAAGCTTTGTCCTAAGGAAGGGTCATATTTCCTTTAGAACAAGAAAGTACAAGGGACAGTTCAGAGAAGAGGACGAAGATATAAGAGGTATTGCTGATGACCAATCATGAGTTCCAGAGGGCTCTCAAGAATGTATAAATATGAATGGATTGATTTTTAAAAGTGAGGCTTAAAATGTAACCAATGTTTGCATAAGCCCTACATAAAATACGAAATGCTGCATAAATACAAGGCATCACTACTACCTCTTTAACTGCCTTGATTGAGGAAATTTCATTCTGATTTCACTAAGTAATTTGCATTTTCTATATCAATAATATTCTTTCCTAGACTTAACTTTTCACCCTTATGGTTTCTCTTATGTTTTGTATATATCTTTTCTAAAATCTGGGGAAAGCGAAGAGAAACTCTTCCCTTAGGTGAAATATAATCATACATAATCTCCTATTGCTATTATTATTTTTGGACAGAGTCTGTTGCCTAGGCTGGCCTTGAACTCCTGAGCTCAAGTGACCCTTCATCCTCAGCCTTTAAATGCTGGGACTATAGGCATGTGCCATCATGCTTGGCTAATCTATCATTTTGTCTGCTTTAAATATAAATTTAATCATGGCAGGAATTTTAGAGCTGGAAGAGAATTTGAAAGTAACATAATGTAAACTTCTCATTTTACAAATGACAGGAGATTATACGTTTTGCCAGATTTAATCAATTGGTTCAATGCTTAAGCCTGTTCCTCCTTCTCTCCAACTTCTTTCTGTTTTTCTTTGAATGGCAGAAACAACAGAAAGTACTCAATAGAGGTGCCCTGTATGTCAGTAGTTGCATATAGACTCTAATATTAGACTGCCTGAGTTTAAATCTTAGATCTGCTATTATTAGCGTTGTAATCTTGGCCACATCATCTAACTGCTTGATGCCTGAGTTTCTTCATCTATAAAATGGAGGATGTAATAACCCTTACAGAGTTATTATGAGGATTAAATGAAATAATTTAAAGTATGTAACAGTGCTTGGCACATAAAGAATGATCAGAAATTTAGGCAATTGTTACTATTTAGCACACACTGAGCTAGCTGCTGATATAACAAAGAGGTCAGGGATTTTACCCACAGTATTTTTATTTGGTCTGCAGTTTAAGAAACAAATTTAAAAAAAAAACTCTGTTGAGATAATGTTTACAAATCAGAATAATTCATATAAAGCTCTGAATTTCCAGTTTTTCTTGAAAATGAGAAGGTCTGACATATTAGGCCAGAATTCTCAGGTAGTGACAACTAGCTGGTAGTAATAAAGCAGCTGCCCCCCTTTACTCCATATTATTCACATGACATTTCCATCTTTACCTGCTTGTTTACTACTTGATTTTGAATTTGTTTCCCTGACTAAGACTGCTCTCAAGGAACTCAGAATCCAACATATGTTTGCTAAACAATTCACAATACAGTGTGATAGAAACAAATACAAAGTTGTCAACTGTAAAGCACAACAATACCCTGATGGCACACATGGTGGAGTTCCTGGTGGTGATGTGTACTGTTAAGAAAATGTGCTGAAAAGAAAAGGAGGGGAGCAGGCTTGCAGAAGGAATAGAAGGTGAAAGATATTGAAATAGGAAACAACTTATGTGTTTAGCAACTACAAAAAGTTCAGTTTTGGTGACTAGAGTGAGAAAAGAAGCAGGTTGACTTTAAATAAGGAGGGTCCCTTATTCTCTGTAGGAGATGGGTAGCTTTTAAAATGTTTTCTGAAATATTTCATTAATTACAAACTGACTTTAATAAAATTATGACTGAATGCTCTTTTTTTAAAAGCTTTTTCCCCCTTAGTTGTGGATGGACACAATACCTTTAATTAATTAATTAATTAATTTTTATGTATCAGCTGAGGATCCAACCCAGTGCCTCACATGTGCTAGGCAAGTGCTCTATCACTGAGCTACAACCCCAGTCCTAACTGGATGTCATCAAATATCTTTGGATCTCATGTTTGAGAAAGAAATGCTAAACAATGTACAATATTCTATTAAATAGCTTTCAGTAGCAAATTATCCATCTTCATAACTGATAATGTAGTTTTAAGATTTGTCTGCAATTGAACATTCCTTAGCTGTAAAATGGGGATAATAATGGCACCCGAAACAAGGGTTATTAAACGGAGAATTGAACCACATAATTCATGTAATGAGCTTACCAAGATATCGGACACAGGTAAATTTGATTAATAATGAGGGTAATATGAGTTATAATGAACACAATACTTTTTGAATCTTCCTCGTCTATGTAACCTATCTTGGAGAAAATACCTCATTTAATCAAACTTATTTTTCATTGAAAACTAAAGTTGAATCAAGACTGGTGGTATCTTCCGGACACATTTGGTAAAAAAAATAAAATGCAAAAAATACTAGATTGAAAATGCCGAGATAATACTTCCTTCCCCTCTATATTTTTTATTGCAAAAGTTGCAAAAACAATTTAAAGATTTTTGTGCAACATAGAAAGTGCTAATTATTTTGTACAGTTACTAATCAATGTAATAGTTTATTGGTGGTATAAAGACACTAAGGTAGAAGAGATGATTCTCCAGTTCTCCAGGCTCAAACAGTAAGTAAAGCCTCTTTCATCTTACAGTAGCATCTCAAAAGCCTAGGGAGGTCAGACAATCAATTGGCGGGAAAAAGATAAATACGGACCAAATTCACACAATCTGTTTCTGTTTAGTTTATAAACTGCGATCGAGTGTGTCTGCTTTCGTGCCTTGTGGGACTTGAAGTCCAGACGCAAGACGTGATCAAGACTGCTGAACCTTGGAAGCCTGCAGCCCCTGCAGTCTGCATACTACGGACTACAACTCCCGACACACACCGGAAGGCCGCGCAGTAATTACGAGCAACCAACCGTGCCCCAGAAACGCAAGCCCCGCCCCCAAATCGGGGGGCGGATTCCGCCAATGGCAGAGCTCCCAGCGCGGAGCCTGCGGGTTAGGTTGTGAGGTCCGGGCCGGGGGCGGGGAGGAGCCGAGGGGTTTCAGAGAGAGCTCGGCCGCTGGGTGGGTTGGGGCGTTCCGCGCGCCCTTCATTGAAGCGGCGGTGGCCGGGCTGGGCGCCGGGAGTGGGAAGCGACGGCGTGGCTGGAAAATGCCGGTCCATTCCAGAGGGGATAAGAAAGAGACGAACCATCACGATGAGATGGAGGTGGACTACGCCGAAAATGAGGGGAGCAGCTCCGAGGACGAGGACACTGAGAGCTCGTCGGTCTCTGAGGATGGAGATAGCTCAGGTGCGTGACCCGGCGGAGCTGGGAACCCGAGTCGCTGAGCCAGGAACGCGACAGGCCGCTCTCCGCACGCCGGTAGCTGCGTCCTTCTGGGAGAGCGGGGCGGGGAAATAGGGAAGGGGCGGAGACTGGCTCCTGGCCCCAGGCTGCACCCGGACCGGTCGCGGGGCTCTGCCCGGCTCTGGGCAGGTTCCAGTCCTCGGGGCAGAGCGGCGCGAGCCTGGGCTTGTCCTGCTCTCGGACGTGGAGGCATCCTGCTCCATGTGGGACCCACCCTGCTCCATGTGGGACCCACCCTTGGGACTACCGGCAGTGCCCTGGGACTACGAGCCCGGGCGGGGAACGCCCCGCAACTTGTCAGAAAGACCGAGGAAATGCCTTCTGTCCTCAGACAACCGACTTCTTTCCTTATTTTCACACATGCAACCTGTACTTCTCTGCGTGGATGGTTGTCGGGGCTAGGGATAGATTTGTATCGGTCCGTGGCTGATTTAGAACTAATTAACCTTCGCTTGCAAGTCAGCCCGTCATCCGCACTTTATTCCAGTGCTCTTTCTGGGGCTAATTTGGGAGCTGTCCGGTTTGTAGTATCTTCCTGAAGTTTTTCAAATCTGAGAGCAGGGTACCAACATCTGGGGTTGTTTTAGATCTTCATAGGCTGATTTGGGTCAGTGTTGAAATCTTTAATCTTTTCCTTCAATCTTTTCTAACCTTTGAGCTGTTTCAGATTTGGGGGAGTAGATGGATAGGGCAGATTAACAACACACATTTTACAAACTTTTAGAAATGGTTATTCAAAAAGGAATGGAATTTGTGATTATCTGGATTCTTTTCCGTTTGTCCATATAATTAGGTTGAGACTGACTTCTTTGTCTTGGCCTAATTTTGGCTGCATAAGGGAAACATTGATGGTGGGTTGATGACAGTCTATTATCACCCCATGCCTTCTTTACAGGTTTGCTTTTAAGAAAATCTCCATGGGAGGATGTCAGTCCTTTCTATCAATATATCAGCTGTTCAAAAATAAATATGAGTGGCTTATTTGTGCAGCCCAGGACACTACCCTGTATAAGATATAAATAAATAGTTATGATCTGGTTTTAAAGAGCTGTCATAAGTCACAATTAGATTAAATTGCCAGATGAATGCTCAGCTATATACAATAAGGTAGGAATTCAGGGGCAGAGTAAATATTTTCGGAGCTGGGCGGTCAGCAAAGGCTAGTTGAAGAAGATGGGATTACCTTAATTATCTTGAGGAATGAGTAAAGTTTGAATTGGGGGGAGTAATGTTCTATTGTTCCTATCGGACAAAGAATGTAAGTGCAAGTGCAAAGGGAAGAGATTAGGACTTATTCAAAAGAGTGAGAAAACCAGTTTGGTTAGGAGAAGAACTTGAGCCAGGAAAGGAAAAAGGAAGGTATAGGTGTGAAAGATTTCAAAGAAGGCATAAAAAAGGATTGATAAATACAAGTTAAGGAGTGAAAGTTAAGAAAAAAACCCAGATATAAGGAAAATGGTTGTAGCATCAACAGAAATAGAAATGCAAAACATGTGGAATGAAGATGAAAGGTAAAGAATTTTAGGCATCTTCCTTTTGAGAGGATTGTGGTATATTTAAGTAAGAATGCCCAAACTGACAAGTGCTGAAAGGTGTTGGAACCTGCCTAGAATGGGAAAAATAATTCTAAGGTCATTTATATAGACATGGAAGTAGGTAAGATTTCAAAAGTGGGGAATATAGAGAGAGAACATCTAGATTGTTTGAATTTGTTTCCTAGATCTGGAAAGCATTTTGTTTTCAAGTATTCTTTACTTTTATTATTTAACTTTTTTTTTTTTTTTCAATGCTGGGGATTAAACCCAAGGTCCTATACATGTTAGGGAAGTGCTCTACCACTGAGCTACATCCCTAGCCCCATTCTTTCTTTTTTTTTTTTTTTAAATGAAGTAACTTTTTTTTAAGTAGTTTATTTTGTTCATTTATTTTTTATGTGGTGCCGAGGATTGAATCCAGGGCCTCATGTGCTAGGCAAATGCTCTACCACTGAGCCACAAATCCAGCCCCATTCTTTGTTTTTTTATTAGTTACTAGGATCTCACAAAATTACATTTTGTTTGTTAAAATTCTTCCACTCTTATTTTATATTTTTGTTGTGATTTTTAACTTATTTTAAATCTCATTTTAGAGAATAATAAACAATGCAATTAGTGAGAATTATAATGATAATTTGAACTACAAGTTAAAAAACAATCTTTTTTTTTTTTTTTTGGTAGTGGAGATTGAACTCATGTTGTTCTACGACCAGTCTACACCCCTAACCTTTTTTATTTTTTGAGACAGGGTCTTGCCACCTTCCCAAGTGGGGCTCAAACTTGCAGTCCTCGCCCCCTGGCCTTCCGAGTAGCTAGGATTACAGGTGCGCATTACCACATTGACCTACAAGACAGATTTTTTGTTTGCAGAGAAATTATTTAAATACATTTTTCAGCTCTCCTTCTTGTAAAATTGTTCTACCAGACATCTTGCATGTTAAACTTCCAGTTTTATTCTTCTCAAACCTTGGTACTGAGCAGATCCTAAGGCTACAGAGAAACCTCCACTAACCAAAGAATTTGGGAAGTGAGTCATGTTGAGGGACCAGGTTTTTTTTTTAATATTTATTTTTTAGTTGTAACTGGATACAATGTCTTTATTTTATTTATTTTTATATGGTGCTGAGGATGAAACCAGGGCCTCGCTCGTTCTAGACGAGTGCTCTACTGCTGAGCTACAACCCTAGCCCGGAGGGACCAGGTTTTAAATAGCCAAGGAGTAAGCTATTAAAAACCAGAATTATTATAAATCTGTTTTAGAAAATTAAAAGGAATCATATACTTGCTGTATGAAAATAACTGAAAACAATTTAACTCTCATGATTTGAACATTATTTTGATGAATATTAAGATGCACATAAATTTGTGCTTCATTTATTTTGATTCATTTAGTGTTGAATATATGTGATATAAAAATAAAGATGTGAAATATAGGACAGACCTGGTAACTAACAGTTGTTTTCCATAAAAAAGTTTGCTTGTTTTTTCCTCATTTGCCTCTTTCTCACTGACAGAAATTTGGGAAGAGGACACAGTGGGAGCATGAGTATCAGTCCAAGATAACTTATGGTAAACATAATGAGATTAGTTTTCTTTTTTTTTCTCCAGTACTGGGAATTAAACCCAGGGGCACTGTATCCACTGAACTATATCCCCAATCCTTTTTATTTTTTATTTTGAGGCCAGGTCTTGCTGAGTTGTCCAGGCTGACCTTAAACTTTGATCTTTTTGCCTTAGCTTCCTGAGTAGCAGGGATTACAGGCGCTGGCTAGTTTTCTTTCTTATGTGATTGGCAAATCAGCTATGTGAGCAGTTCTTAGGGAAGAACTCCAGAAGTATGTTTGATCAGTGTTAACCTTTTAAGGACACATCATTTTTGGTGCTAAGTTCTGGTTGAGTTGTGGAGAACACACCAAAAGTGGGTTGATTACTTTATAGTCGTAGCTTACAGTAAGTCCTTTGACATAATAGTAAAATGAATAAACATAAAGTGTAGAGATCACTTTAGTTAAAACTCTCTTCTTTATTTTAGATTAATTCTGTAGTGGAAAATATTTTGGATAAATGTTTATTTTCTCTTAAAGCTTAATATAGATCTTGCACATCAACTTCATGTTACTTTTTTTCCCCTTTTTTGGTACTAGGGATTGAACCCAGTGACACTTTGCCACTGAGGCACATCCCCAGCCCTTTTTGATTTTTTTATTTTGAGAGAGGGTTTTCCTAAGTTGCTTAGTGCCTCACTAAGCTGCTGAGCAGGCCTCAAACTTGGTGATCCTCTTGCCTTAGCCTACAGAGTTGCCACCACCCCCAGCTGCTTTTTTTTTTTCTTTTTGAATTAACTTCAGATATATTTGTAACACAATATTATCTTTGATATTTGCTTTTTTTTTTAATTAACAGAAATGGATGATGAAGACTGTGAAAGAAGAAGAATGGAATGTTTAGATGAAATGTCCAATCTTGAAAAACAGTTTACAGATCTCAAAGATCAGTAAGTAGTGATTTCAGAAGGTCATTGTCACTGAGTCTCAAATATGTCACATATATACCAGTGGGAGAGCAATTACATTGTTTCAACTTTTTGCCTTTTGTGTTTTGTGGGACTGGCTGTTCTGAAAGAGAGGCTTCAACTATTGTTTACTTGCCAAAGACCTCATTAACTAAACTGAGGGTTTTGAGGCAGGCTTTTTTTTTTTTTTGGGTGGTGGAGTGGAGTTTTAAGATTTCTGTGTGGATATCAGTGATTAAAATGTTTTCCATGGATTTTTGCACCTTTGGTTCTAATCTGTTTCATTCATTCCTTTGTTGACTAAATCCCTAAAGATAGCATTTTTAAAAATTGAGAATAAAATAGAATATTTCCCAAATATTCTCTGTCTGGTAAAGTCATTTTGTTTCTATCTTACATTTGATAATATGTACATTATATGTTTTATATGTGTTATTTAGCTTCTTGCAGCAACTCTGTAAGGTTGAAAGACTTAATGCTTAGAGAGGTTAACTGCTTTGTGTAATTTATCAGAAAGTGATGAATGAAGCGAGGCTTTTGCCTTTCAGTGGTACTGTGTTCCTTTCACATAAAGCATATTATTTTGGAGAAAATGTGGTAGAGTAGAAAAAACAAAAGCTCTGAATCCATGCTTTTTTGACTGATTTAAAGGGGATAATCATGGAGTTCTTACTATCTATTGTGAGGAATGAGAAGCAATGTTGTTTGTTTGCCTGGCATGTGGTAGGTACTTAATAGATACTGTTTTTTAACCTTTAACCTCCTGTTCTAATGCCAGAACTCTTATGTGAGTTGGCAACAGAAGAATGGACTCCCATGATTTGATAGAACATAGGATAGATGTAAATGCACATTAAAAAACAACTACATTGGAAACTGGGGTTGTGGCTCAGTGGTAGAATACTTGCCTTGAATGTGTGAGGCACTGGGTTTGATTCTCAGCACCACATATAAATAAAACATAAAGGTCCATCAGCAACTAAAATAAATAAAATTAAAAACAAAAAACAACTACATTCTTCCAGTGGCATTTTTCAAGAAATAGAATAAGTGGCCATGAAATTCATTTGGAAAAATAAGAGGCTCAAAATAGCCAAAGCAATCTTTAGCAAGAAAAGTGAAGCAGGAGGCATCACAATACCAGACCTTAAATTATACTACAGAGCTCTAGTAACAAAAACAGTATGGTATTGGCACCAAAACAGATATGAAGACCAATGTTACAGAATAGAAGACACAGAGACCAACCCACATAAATACAGTTATCTCATACTAGGCAAAGGTCCCAGAAACATACATTGGAGAAAAGATAGCCTCATCTACAATGATGCTGGGAAAACTGGAAATCGATATGTAATAAAATGATTAGACCCCTGTCTCTCACCCTGCACAAAACTCAAAGACCTAGGCATTAGACAGAGACCCTGCACCTACTACAAGAAAAAATAGGTTCAAATCTGTCATGTCGGCTTAGGAATTGAATTCCTCAACAAGACTCCTAAAGCACAAGAAGTAAATGGGATTGTGTCAAACTAAAAAGCTTCTTCACAGCAAAGGAAACAAATCAAGAACTTAAAGAGAGCCAACAGAATGGGATAAAATCTTTGTCACCTGCACCTCAGATACAGCATTAATCTCCAAAGAACTGAAAAAAACTTAAAACCAAAAAAACAAATAACCCAATCAATAAATGGTCTAAGGAACTAAACAGACATTTCACAGAAGAAGAAATACAAATGGTCGACAAGTATATGAAAAAAATGTTCAACATCACTAGTAGTGCAAATTAAAACTACACTGAAATTCCCTTTCATTCCAGTCAGAATGGTAGTGATTAAGAATACAAATAACAATAAATGTTGGTGATGATGTGGGGAAAAAGGCACACTCATACATTGCTGATGGGACTTCAAATTGGTGTAACCACTCTGGAAAGCAGTATGGAGATTCCTCAGAAAACTTGGAATGGAACCACCATTTGACCCTGTTACCTGACTACTCAGCATATCCCCAAGGGACTTAAAATCAGCATACTATAGTGATGTGGCTACATCAATGTTTATAGCACCTCAATGCACAGTAGTTAAACTATGGAACCAAACTAGGTGCCCTTCAATAGATGAATGGATAAAGAAAATGTGATACATATGCACAATGGAGTATTACTCAGCTGTAGGAAGAATGAAATTATGGCATTTGCTGGTAAATGGATGGGACTGGAGACTATCAAAATTTTTGTTGTTTTCCCTGTAGTTGTTATAGTTTCAAAAAAATAAGTATCATTTACTTTCTTGACTTTATACATTTGTTTATCATTGTATCTTCGGTTTTGGAAAAATTTGACTCAGACATGACAATGTATTATTTTGGCAGTTATTTGTCTAAATAATATTGTGGTTGCTAAGGGACCACAAAACTAAAAAAGAGATATTATAGCATTAACATTCAAACTTGCCTTGCCTCTTATACTAATTATAATGGTCAATGATACATAATTAATATTGATTGTCTTAATTGTATTGGTTTATATTTTCAAGAAGGAAGAGCAGAACTTAATATGAAAGCTAGTTTCCCGAAGTTTTTCAAAAGCCAAATGCTGGTTATACTAATACCTACAAGAATAGTTAGTGATTTCTTTTGGAAATTAGTACAGGGTACCATAGTCTCCCTTCTTAAGTATTTGTGAAGTATATTTATTGCCAAAAATAAACACCGAATTGTCTTACATGATCAGTCTTTGATAATCAAACTAAAGTATTGTGACAGCTGGCAAATTAAAGTAGACTCATAAATAGGAGCAACAGGAACTTCCTGCTCCATCCCCATTTTTCATTTCATTGAGCAGCTATTTTGTTAAAGCTTCTTCATTTGTAGTTGAGATGAACTGGGTATGCCTGATCACACGTTATTTTGTGGGGACAGGCTGTGAGTACTGAGTTTTTAACCTAGGGGCACTTAACCACTGAGCCACATCCCTGAAGCTTTTTATTTTTTAATTTGTGACAGGACTTTGCAAAGTTGCTGGGGCTGGTTTTGAACTTGTGAGCCTCTTGCCTTGGCCTCCCAAGTCTCTGGGATTACAGGGGCACACCACTGTACAGGGCCAGAGCATAGGTTCTAAAGTCATTCATTGCCTTTCCTTCATCACTTGAATTCTTCTGTTCTTTTTAAAAAATTAAGTAGGCTAAATATCATACTGAGTTCTTTTCAGGAAAACTGGAGAGAAGCCAGGGAATTATTTGACAACTAGTAATGTCTCTATTTAAATTACTCAAATGGTTTCCTTTTTTCTTGATGTTTAAATGACTTTTTCTCTTAGAATTGGTTTGTTTTTCAATTAAAAACAAAAATTAAGAGTGCCTAATATAGTTATTTCAATTTTTGTTGTCATTTTTTGAAATGGGTATCACTATGTTGTTCAGGCTGACCTTGAACTCCTGTGTTCAAGCAATCATCCTTCCTTAGTCTCTGAGTAGCTGGGACTGCAGGTGTCTGCCAGTGTCCCTGGCTTTCAGTTGTATTTCAGTGAATTGTTAATTTCGGTGAGTTAACAATTTAAGAGTGATACTTATAAAAAATCATAGATTTCTATCTTATCGTTATATGCATGGAGTAAAATAATATAATTGAATTCTCCACTTGAGATTAAGGCAATAATACATTTGATATAGGTTCTTAGAATATAAATGACATTAAGAAGAAATAATGTATAGGAGCAGCAGATTTTTGGCCTTTGTTGGAATTTTTAAATTAACATCTTAATTTTTGCTTTGTTAAGACTTTATAAAGAACGATTAAGTCAGGTGGATGCAAAACTGCAAGAAGTCATAGCTGGAAAAGCACCAGAATATTTGGAACCACTGGCAACTTTGCAAGAAAATATGCAAATTCGTACAAAGGTAGCAGGTAGGAAAGTAAACTGTTTTTTTCCATATAGCAGATTCTACACTTCTTAGCTTTAAAGGTGTTTGTGAAGTGTTTGCTGTTGATGGGATCACAAATACATTTACACGTGGACAGGATTACAGATATACTTGAATGTTTACATTAAATTGCACATATATTTAAATTAATTGTTGGCTCAGTTATTTGTTAACCTCTTGTGGGCTGCTGTGGGGGATTTAAAAACAATGAAAAACTCTTAGGTCACTCATAATGTTGTTGAAAAGATACTGTCTATGTGTGGAGAAACTGAACCAAGATACTTTGATTAAAAATATTGTTACTATCACAATTTAATTCCCTGTGAAATAGAGTTTAAGTACTTTTGATACTTTTTAATCTGTAAGAGTGAGAAGGATTTTTATTATTTTTATTTTGGTTTTTAAGAGATCCGGGGGTCTCACTATGTTGCTCATACTGGCTCCAATCTCCTAGATTCAAGTGATCCTCCTGCCTCAACTTTTCCAAGTAGTAGATTTTTTTTTTTTTTAAGTATAAAAGCATTTTTTAAAATGTTTGATCAGGATATTATAGAATAGGATGTACTATATTTGTATGGTTAAAATTCAGTCTGTTTATAATTGGGATCTAGTCTCAGTGTTGAGTCCTAGCATTCATAATCAAGGGATATATGTACTGAAAGATCACTATGGCACTGGGCTTGGTGGCATGTACCTATAGTCCAAGCTACTCCGGAGAGTGAAGCAGGGAGGATCACTCCAGTCTGGGAATTTTGACCTGCAATATCCCATCTCAAAAACAAAACAAAACAAAAACAACAACCAAAAAAAAAAAACATAATTTTTTCATGGTGAAACTAAAAAGTGAACTTTAATTAATGGATATGTCAATTGTTTTTCTTTTGGGGGATGCTAATTAATCCTCATGTACCTGTTAAATAATACCTAAGCATTGTTGAAAATAAATTCTAAACTCATCTTAAACTAAATTTTATTCTTTAGATCTTAATATTAATTATGTAGATGATATATGATAATTAACCTGTTATCTTTTCATATTGACTTGGCTTACCCTTAAAAGTAAAATGTTCCTCATTTTCTTTTGACATTGTTTTAGCCTAAATGGATGATCAGGAAATATTACTTTAATGAACTGTTCACTTTTCTACTCTGTGGCTTCCCTTACTTTTTGATTTTGCAAATAGTAGTATATGTGAATGTTTTGTTAATGGTATAGTATCAGTATCTATCTCCTGTCTTTACTATACAAAAAGGGATAATTATATTTCTAGGGCAAACAATGTCTTAGAACTTAGTATAGACATCCAGAGTTCTTCACTTCACATTTTCGTGATGGCATATTTGCATGGCCATTATTTCCTTTTTTGTACTATTTTCTTGTTACCTATAAGTTAAATATTCTTGGGCTTCAGTCATCCAGGTGAAGCCCTGTCAGGAGTACTGTGAACATCATGGATTTTATTTTAACAGTTTATACATAAAATTCTCTAGGACTCTGAAACTAAATAGTAGCTTAAAAATAGTGGTTTTTGAGGGGAATAGTGTCTAACTGTTACTTTGAATATATATAATTGATGAAACCAGAGTCTATTGTCTCTATTTTGAGAAACCTGAGGGATTTTTTCCCCATTGTTTTTTTATTGGTGCATTATAATTACATGTAGTAGTGTGATTTGTTGTTATATATTTGTACATTCACGCGATTTAATAGTATAATTTGGTCAGTTTTATTCTGGTATTGTTTCTCATAGAAAAAGGATTTTATTTTTCATTTTGGTAATTCTTTATGAAACATTTAGGAACATTCTTTAGAAGAATGGAGTAAGAACAAAAATTATCATTGCAGTTTCTTTCTAGTTCTTAAACTCTTAGTAACTTGTCTTAGAGTATATTTTAAATGAGCCTGTTTTTATTTTTAGTTTTTTATTTTTTTTTGGTACTGGGGATTGAACTCAGGGACATTGAACCACTGAGCCACATCCCCAGCCCTATTTTGTATTTTATTTAGAGTCGGGGTATCACTGAGTTGCTTAGTGCCTTGCTTTTGCTGAGACTGGCTTTGAACTCGCAATCCTCCTATCTCAGCCTCCTGAGCTGCTGGGATTACAGGTGTGTGCCACTATACCCGGCTATATTTTTAGTTTTTAAAGATAATGTTAGAATCACTTTTCACTTTCTTTCCTTTTTTTTTTTTCTTGTGGTACTGGGGATTGAACGAGGTCCTTGCACATGCTAGGGAAGCACTCTACTTCAGAGCTACAACCTCCAGTCCCTTTTATTTTATTTGAAGACAGGGCCTCAGTAAGTTGCCCTGTCTTGCCTTGAGCTTGTGATCCTCCTGCCTCAGTCTCCTGAGTTACTGGGATCACAGATATGTGCCTGCTTATTAATTTCTTATTGATCCATCTTCTAAAATATGGTGAGGACTGAATTCCTGTAGGGAAGTAATAATGAAACTCTTTATAGCTAACATAATCAGAGTAATTGTGTTTGTTGCAGGAATCTATAGAGAGCTCTGCTTAGAATCTGTAAAGAACAAATATGAATGTGAAATTCAAGCTTCTCGCCAGCATTGTGAGGTACGGTTATTTTGCTTAACTGTCTCTTTGAACCTTTTCTGAGTGCAGTAATTTAAAAAGTACATAAAATAAGTAAAGTAAAATTAAATAGTACTTTATCTCATCTCTTGTGAGTTTAAAAAAAAATAGAGTCATACTGAAAGCTATATTAGCAAAAGAGCACAGAGGAGCATAGAAAAAACTGAGATAATTTAAAAAGTTTTCAAGTGATACTCTACAAAGACTGTGTGATGATTCTCATCTGGCATCACTGAAAATATTAATATAATTAATAATTAATATGGGCTTTTAGATTGAAACATGTATACTCTAATGATGCAGTCAGAATATTGGGCTATAGAATTAATTTCTGATTGTATAGACATATTTCCATATTTTAGGACGGTATTCTTTGTGTGAAAAAATAAGTGTTTCAATGTGATCTGTTTATTTCAAATACTGTTTAAAAACATTCTGCTAATTTTGCAGGTAAATTTTCATGAAACCTTGACTGGTAGAAATGAGAGGACAAGCTTTATATTGACTCTTATCTCACTTTAATAATAAACCATATAATTAAATAGTAAATAGTATAAAAACAATGAGCTTGTTGCTTAATTTTCTTGATTACAACTGAGATGAATATCTTTTTGATATTTCCTGGCTGCTTGGATTTCCTTTTCTGAGAAATACTTTTTCATATTTTTTGTCTTTGCATTGGGTTTTTAGTCTTTTCCTTATTATATCCTTTATCTATTCTGGATATAAAGGGTTTGCTGGTTATATGCTTTGCACATGTTTTTACCCACACAATGGCAACTTTGCATTCTTTTTGATGATTTGAAGCCCCCAAATTTTACATTTTAATGTAGTTGAATGTATTATCTTACCTTTATAGTAAGTGCTTTTGTTTCTTCTCCATTTTGGGAAAATGTATTTTTCTTTTAAAAGTTGAAAGTTTGCTTTTAACATTGAGATTGCCAAATTATCTTTAGTTAATTTTTGTGTATGGTATAAATGTGGTTCTAATTTTATTTTTTTGCATCTAGATAGGTGAGGTCAATGTTTTATTTAATCTATCATTTTCCAACAAATCAGCAGTACATCTCTTGTGTGTTAAATATTTATGTATATGCTGGCTTGTTTCTAGTTTTTTTCATCTGTTACATTGGTCTTTTTGGCTATTTCTGCACTAGTATCACAATATGTTTTTCTACAACTTTCAATCTACTGAGTATTAATAATGTGATACCCTACCTTGCTCTTTTCCTTCTTAAAATTGTTATTGTAAATTTTTCTTAAGTACAACTACTTAAAAATTGCTTTTTCTATTTTATACAGAAAAGTTAACTTTGTATATTGATACTATATCCAGCTTCTTATCTACTTTTCTTTTTTTGGGAGGTGGGGGGCACTAGGAATTGAACCCAGCGGCACTTAATTACTGAGCCACATCCCGAGCCCCTTTTATTTTTTATTTTGAGATAGTGTCTCACTAAGTTGCTTAGGGTCTTGATAAGTTGCTGAGGCTTGTGATCTTCCTGCTTGTCATCCTCTTGCTTCAGCCTCTTGAGTAACTGGCATTACAGATGTGCACCACCACGTCCAGCTCCCTTTTTTTCTCCTCCTCCTCCTCCTCCTCCTTCTTTCTTTTCTTTTTTAACATTTAGTTTTTAGGTGTAGGTGGGCACAACACAATGCCTTTATTTTTATGTGGTGCTGAGGATCAAACCTGGGTCCCGCCCATGCTAGGCGAGTGCTCTACCGCTGAGCCACAATCCCAGTCCTTCTTTTTTCTTAAGTCTAATAATTTGATTATGGATTCTTTCAGATTTTCTATAGAGATAATTATGTTATTTGTGAATAAAGGTAGTTTGTGTCTTCTATTCTGGTTTTCCTCAATTTGTTTTACTTGCTATAATGGCACTAATATCCATGTGTTCCAGTACAACATGGAATAGAAGCAATAAAAGCAGACATCATTGATCATTGACATGTTCTTGGTCTGTGTGTGTGTGTGTGTGTGTGTGTGTGTGTGTGTGTGTGTTATTGGAGATTAAACCCAGGGTCTCACACGTGCCAGGCAAGTGCTGTACCACTGAGTTACATTTCCAGCCTTTTTATGTTTTTTTTTTTGGGATGGAGTCTTGCTGAGCTACCCAGGCTGGTCTCAAACTTATGATCTTCTTGCCTCAGCTTCCCAAGTACCTGGGAATGCAGGCAGGTTTAACCATGCCTGTCATGTGTTGTTGTTGTGTTTTTTGTTTTTTTTTTAAATATTTTTAGTTATAGATGAACACAGAACCTTTATTTATTTATTTTTGTGTGGTGCTGAGGATTGAACCCAGTGCCTCCTCACATAGGCTAGTCAAGCACTCTAACACTGAGCCACAAGCCCAGCCTTGGCATATGTTCTTAATCTTAAGAATGCTTCTAATAGTTTTCCAGTAAGTGTTATATATATATATATTTTTTAGTTTTGGTAAATAATTTTTATCAAGTTAAGGAGATTTCCTTTTAATTATTGTTTTCTAAGAATTTTTACCATGAATAGTTGTCAGATTTTATTAAATGTTTTGTCTGAATCTATTGAATTAAGCTTCTTGTTTTGTTTTGGTAACAGGGATTGAACCCAGGGACACTCCACTACTGAGCTCTATCCCTAGCCTTTTTATTTTTTACTTTGAGACTAAATTGTTCAGGCTGGCTTTGAATTTCTGTTCTTCCTGCCCTAGCTTCTGAAGTTTCTGGGATTATAGGCAAGTACCACTGCATTGGACCTCTAAAAAAAAAAATATATATATATATATATATAAATATATATATATATATATATATATATATTTTTTTTTTTTTTAAAGTTATAGTTGGACATAATACCTTTATTTATTTTTATGTGGTGCTGAGGATCGAACCCAGGGCCTTGCGTGTGCTAGGTGAGTGCTCTACCGCTGAGCCACAACCCCAGCCCCTCTTAGAATTTTTTTTAAGTGTGCTATACAGCATTGTTAACTATAGGTACAGGGTTTCACAGCAAAACTCCAAAACTTTATTATCTTGCATAACTGAAACTTTATGTCAGTGGAATAGCAACTTTTCATTAACCTCTTCTCCTAGCCCATGACAAACACCACTCTATTCTTTTGCTTCAGTGTTTGTTAATTATAGTCACCATGCTATATAGTAGATCTCTAGGACTAATTTTTCCTTACTGAAACTTCAGACCCTTTTACCAGCTTTTCTCATTCCCCTTCCCACTCCCAGCCCCTGGTGACTACTATTCTATTCTCTGCTTCTGTGAGTTGATTTTTTTTTTTTTTAAAGAATCCACATATAAGTGAGATCATATAGTATTTATCTTTCTGTACCCAGCTTTTTTTCACTTAGTGTAATGTCCTCTAGGTTTACATATGTTGTTCAAATGACAGGATTTTTTTTTTCTTTTTAAAGGTTGAATAATATTTCATCATATAAATATACACCACATTTAAAAAAAAAATCCATCCCTTCAGTGATAGACCCTTAGGTTGTTTCCATGTCTTGAGTATTATAAATAATGCTATAGTAAAGATGGGAGTGCATTTCTCTCTTTGATGTATTTTTTCAGTACTGATTTCATTTCTTTTGGGTATATACTGAGAAGTGGATTGTCCTATAGTTGTATTTTTAATTTTTTGATTCATCTCCATACTGTTTTCCATAATGGCTGTATTAATGTACATTTCCACCAATAGTATGCATGGGTTCTTTTTTCTCCCCATCCTTGCCAATACTGTTATCTTTTGTCTTTATGATAATAGTTATTCTAACAGTGTGAAGTAATACCTTATGGTTTTTACCATGAATAGTTGTTAGATTTTATTAAATACTTTTTATTTATTAAGTTTAGTTATCATTTTTTGCTCTTGATATATTAATGTGATGATTTATATTAATGTATTTCCTAATGTTGAACCATTGTTGGATTCAGATCTATGATTTGTAAATATTTGTCCTATTCCATAGGTTGCTTTTCACTCCTTTAATTGTTTCCTTTACTATGAGCAAGATTTTTCATTTTAACAGTCTGTTTTTTAAAAATTTCTTTCTTGTGCTGAGTATCAAACCGAGTACCTCACACATTCCAGGCAGGTGCTCCACCACTGAGTCACAACCCCAGCCCCCATTTTAACAGTCTTACTTGCCTATTTTTGCATTTGTTGTTTATGCTTTTGGAGTCTTATCCAAAAAATCCTTTCCCATTCCAATGTCATAAAGCTTATTTTGCATGTTTTCTTCTCGGAGTTTTGCAGTTTCAGTAATAAAGTTTAATACTTGATCTATTTTGAGTTGATTTTTGTGAATGGTATAGGATAAATGTCCAATTTCATTCTTTGACTTGAAGATGCTCAGTTTTCCCAGCATCATCATTTTTTGAAGAGGCTAACTTTTTCCCATTGTGTGTACTTGGTAAACTTGGGGAAGATCAGTTGACTCTACCTAAGTGGGTTTATTTTTGTGTTCTCTCTTCTATTCCTTTGGTTTATATGTCTGTTTTTATGCTAGTACCATACTCTTGATTACTGTAGCTTTGTGATGTATCTTGATATCAGGTAATATTGATGCCTCCAACTTTGTTCTTGCTTAAGATTATTTTGGCTATTTGGGGTCTTTTGTAGTTCCATATCAACTTTAGGATTGTTTTTTTTCTATTTCTGTACAAAATGCCACTGGAATTTTGATTAGGGATTATCTTTTATCTATCACTTTGGGTAGTATGGACATTTTAACAACATTAAGTCTTCTAGTACATGAATTCTGAATGTCTTTCCATTTACTTGTGTCTTCTTTAATTTTCCTCAGTGATGTTTTTTAGTTTTCAACATACAAGTTGTTCATCTCAAGTTTATCCTTTAAATAATTTTATTCTTTTTGTTGCTATTTTATGTGGGATTTTTTTGCTCAATTTCTATTATCTCCATGTATTTTTGTCAGTTTTTTCTTTATATATGTATATATTCTATATATACATATGTATATCC